ACATTATTCAGTTAAATAAAATTTAAATTTGTATTTAATTTTTTTTTCAATTATGAATGGTTTTTATGTGAACGATTGCTGATTAAAAATTTTGACCCCAATTTTGTAAGTCATCTCTAGTCCTAGTATTTTTGTTATGAATATTAGAATTGGTAGAAAATTGTGTATTAAAAACGAACAGGCAGATCTCATAAATTTATACAAACCATAAGAGAAGTTTAAATTTTCTAAAAATATTTACGCATGAATGTGTAACTAAGGTCATTAGCAATGCTAAACAATAAACTTTTCTGGGCTACAAAAACCTTAGTCGACTTTTAACTTGTGCAAAATATAATTTAATGCCAACTGGAATTACTTTGTGCAAGAAATTCAGTGTCGTTAACAATCAGTTTGAGACTCTCAATGTGTTTTGGAGTAGTGTGAAATTTAATAAATTGTGTTTCTTCAGAGTTAAAATATAATGATTAAACCAATTACCAATTAATTAAATTCGAAATAATTAGTTCACATTTATGTTTTATATTAATGCATGATTTTTCAGTTACTAACAGAGACGTATCATCAGTATAAGGAGTAAAATGTGATTCATCATTGAGGCTAGTAATATTATCATATAAAAGAAAAAATGCAGGGCCCAATGCGGAACCTTGGGGCACTCTCATTTTTAAATCAATAGTATTTGACTTGTACATTTGTATGGTGTTCCTACTCCGATTTATTACACAGGTCAACATTTGATCTAAGAATAATCACCGGACCTGACCAGGGTACTTATACGTTTTTTGGATCGCTGATTCCGAATCCGAGGTTGGCTAAGCTCCATCACGTCAGGTTCAAGGTCATTTGAAGGTGAAATGGCCAAAATGGTCTAAAACATCTGAAAAAATTCATACGTATGTTTTTGGGGTAGCCGAGTTCAAAGCTGCCGCTATTTTTACCATTCAAAGACATCTAAAGGTCGTATCAAGGTCATTTGGAGGTCAAATCGAGAAATATGATCTAAAGAATCTTAGAAAATTTATACGTATGTTTTTGAAGTAGCTGAGTTAAAATCCGCTGTCAGTTTCACCCCTGAAGGACATCTGAAGGTCATATGAAGGTCATATCAAGGTCATTTAAAGGTCTAATCGAGAAAATGGGTCTAAAAAATCTGAAAAAATTTATACGTATATTTTTGGGCTAGCTGAGTTCAAAGCCGCTGTTATTTTCACCATTTAAGTTCATCTAAATGTCGTATCAAGGTCATGTCCAGATCATTTGTAGGTCAAATCGAGAAAATCTGTCTAAAAAATCTGAAAAAATTTATACGTATGTATACGGCTCCTGACCGAATGAGGCGAAAACATAAAGAAGGCAATTTTCCGGTCAGTTAGGTAAGCGTGTCCAGCCAGTAGGTAAGGTAAGCGTGTCCAGCCAGTTAAGGCAAGACGAGTGAATGTCCTAGCCAGTTAAGGCATGAACAAGACTGTGTCCAGCCAGTTAAGGCAAGACGAGTGAATGTTCCGACCAGTTAAATGTGTGTGTCCAGCCACTTAAGGCAAGACGACTGAATGTCCGGGCCAGTTAAGGCAAGAACATAAGCGCATCCAGACAATTAAGTCAAGACGACTGAATGTCCCGGCCAGTTAAGGCAAGAACAGTAACGTGTCTAGCCATTAAGGTGAGACTTTCACCCCATTTACACCTTACTGTTTTTAAAATTGTTTTCAATAAATGAATCTCCTTGTTTAGCATACAAATTTATCGTCAGCTTTGAATCGTTTACGTTTAGTTTCAAACGATCTTCTAATTGATTTTCTTTTATGCTCTACGTTTGTGTCTCTTTTTAAACACCAGCAATAGTCGGCCAACATATTATTTCCCCAAACACCCTGATATCTTTTCTCAGTCAATCAGGTCCTGATGCATTCTTTCACCTTGTTCGTCGCTGAATGCCCCTCGATTTTCTGGAAATAAGTCAAGATGAGAATCAAGAAAGTGGAGTTTAAGGTTCATTAAACATCCTAATTTTTGGAAATTGTTTACCATTGTTGCAACAATATTTTTGTAGTCAGGGTCTTTATTATTGCCTAAAAACTTTTTCGTGGCTTCCCTACATTTTTTCAGATTTTTTTATACCGATTTTCTCGAATATACCTTCAAATGACCTTGATATGACCTTCATATGACCTTCAGATGTCCTTCAGGGGTGAAACTGACAGCGGATTTTAACTCAGCTACTCCAAAAACATACGTATAATTTTTTTCAGATTTTTTATACCATATTTCTCGATTTGACCTCCAAATGACCTTGATACGACCTTTAGACGTCTTTCAATGGTAAAAATAACAGCGGCTTTGAACTCAGCTACCCCAAAAACATACGTATGAATTTTTTCAGATTTTTAGACCATTTTTGGCCATTTGACCTTCAAATGACCATGAACCTGGCGTGATGGAGCTTAGCCAACCTCGGATTCGGAATCAGCGATCCAAAAACCCATAAGTACCCTGGTCAGGTCCAGTGATTATTCTTAGATCAAATGTTGACCTGTGTTATTAATACTAACGTACTGACTTCGATGTTTCAGAAATGATGTCACTCAATTCCCTTTTAATCCGTTATTATATAAAATATTAATTAAATTGTCATGGTTAACACAGTCGAAGACCCTGCTGAGATCTCAGAAAATCCCAACAGGGTACTCACCATCGTTAATAAATTGAATCTGCTGATCAATAAAACATGAATTGTTGTAGTAGTAGACTCATTACAGCAAAAGCCGTGCTGATTTTCTATTAAGATATTATATTTATCAATGAAATTCAATAATCTGTCAAAAAAGGTATATCCAAAAACTTTTAAAAATCCACTTGAAATTATTATAAGTCTGTAATTACTTAACAGATGGAGATCGTATTTCTTAAAAATCAGGATAACCTTTCCAGTTCTAAGATAACAGGGAAATAAACATTCCTTCTGAAAGTATTATAATAAACAAAGGTATTCATCGGGTCCGGAATATTTTTTTTAATTCTCAGTTTGCAAATTAGCAGATTATGGGGAGAGAAGAACTTTATAAACACTGAGTTGTATTAGAAAGTTCATCTATTTTAGATTAATAAGGGAATTAATTCAAAATTTACTTTTGTAACCACTATTTTTTTATAAATGTGCGATTGCTATTTCTTAATATAACATAAAATTTTAAGTAGCCTTGAAAAATTGTTTAAATTTTCCTGTATATCTACAACTACTTACCTTGACTCAGTATTATATTAAATATTATTTCTTTAGAAACGAGTTTTTAATTACTTCTTCAGTATTATAATGAAACCGAAATTTAAAACTAATAGTTTTTGAGATATCGCACCATACATTTAAAAATACTGTTCTTCGACAAAAGTAATTTTGTTATTGAGATAACAAAAAATATATATAACGAATACAAGTGGGTCTCAAGATTCCTAAGAAAATAAAAAGGAAACGAAAGATAGATAAATAGTAGATAATCTTCATAAAAATACTGACGCATGAACGCATACGTCTTATTAAGTAGTAAGTAATTTAAACAGTCATCAATAATATCATCTTGATTTAAATAATTAATAAAAGTGAACTCATGAACTACATATTTAATCAGATTAGATTGATTTAAAAGCTTAATAGGTTGAAAAAAAACATAATAATGGTCATTTACAGATTAAAATTCATAATCTGTATATACTTACTTACAGTACGATCATATACAGGGTATAACAACAATGACTTGACAAACTTTCATGGTTAGTTTATTTCTCTCGTCAGAACTAACAAAAAAACTAGATTAATATTTTCCCAAAAAGAGATATAGACTTCAAATTAATACAATGCTGTTTTCCCATAGCAGCGTGTAAAATTTGAAGAAAAATCAATCGACCAGGAAGACCTTCAACTTCAACTGATGACTGCCGCGTTCAGAAAGTAAAAGATCTCGTGTGTGCAAATCGCCGATTGACTATCAGCAATTACAGAAGAGGCTAGCATAAAAACACCACCTGGAAAATTGTGTGAATAGGGGAGGAGAGTACTTTGAGGGAGACCAGGATAATATATAAAATTAATAATAAAGTTTAAAAAAATGAGGTTCGGTTATTTTCTGAACAAACCTCGTAGATTAAAAATTGTGTCTTTCTTCCAACATATAAAGGGTCATAGAAATCTTAGGAACCGTTTTATTAAAAAAACGCTACTCTTGTGTATTTTTTTTTGTTTTATTGTGTAATTTAAAAGCGATACGGACAGAGAATTAAATAAAATTATTATTTTATTCTTGATATAAATAATTGCATTATTTTGCATTGCATTTTTTGCATTTTTGCATTTTTTAATTTCACACTTAATTTAACATCTAATTTGATAGGCGATTTCTAAGATTTTTACAAAAAATGGCGTTTACGGCATCGTTAAAAATTTTGACTATCTCTAAGGCTATGCAGCAGAATGTAGTTTTCACCACTCGCTGAAGCATGAAAAAATGTATCTTAGACATTACTATTTTTCTGATAGTAATTAGTTGCGTAATTAATATAATAGATCAAAAAATTGTATCTCACGTCCAACATATGAACGGTCATAGAATCGTCTGAAGTTATTAATTTGTGGAATAGTTTTAGTTTCTGTCTCTATTTTTTGGGTATTTTACCACCTGTGAGAAAATTTAAATTCTCAAATGTAACTAAAACGAAGAAATTCAGACAAAAACAGATAGATTTTCGAAACATGAACAACTTTTTAAAGTATGCGATATACATAGTGATATGTCTTTTGTAATGTGTATTTGTTTGTTTTCTTGAGTATGAGATTTTTTGTTAGACAAAACTATTTTCTTAAAAATAAACCTTACGGCTCTTTTACATTTTTTACAGGCGACAAAATACCAAAAAATAATGAAATGATTGCGTTATCCTTGTTTTTTTCTTTTGTTTTGTTGTGTGACATAGGTGGTAGGGATGGGACATTAAATAAAATAAATTACTTTATCCTTGAAATAAATAATTGCATTCTTTATTTTCAGTTTTTAACTGTACAGAACAACAGCATATGGGAGAATAAATCAATTCAGTTAATTATTATGCTAACATATCTATACATCTCTACAATTTATTATAGATATTTATAGATTATTATCTGTAAAATGTAGCCTCTTAATGAGATCATTACTAAAATTAAAGATCTTTCTTATACTTCACTTTAATAGAAAAAATTGTCTACACCTATTTGAATATGCTGGAGAGTATGTTATTTTTTCCTTATAATGAAGTATGTGTTGGTTTTGATGACAATAAAATACAACATTTTGTCAACATGAATACATGTTTTGAAAAATTAAAAGATTTAGTTTCAAACGAAAAAATAACAATACTGCCAGTTTTTTAATATGGGTTATTAAGGAAAATTATTATTAACATGCCTTATGATTTTATTTCTATATTATTTTATGTTAGTTGTTTCGTGTTATCTATTCTAGCATAATATATTATCACTAATACTTTTCCGTTTTTTTATCAACAATCGTTTTTAAAAATAGAATAGTTTCACGTTATTTTTAGCTTCTCATTGTTTAAAAAATGTTGGAAATGCCAGATTTATTTATTTTTTCAAGGTAATAATAAGGTTTTGGTAACATTGATAATAATCATCATAAACGGTTTTAAATTCCAAAAACCAGATTTATCTGTTACTATAGAAAATTTAGAAACTCGCCTTTAAGCAATATTGTTTTATATAATTTTATTAATAACGTTACATTTGGTGAACTTATACAGAGCGATTTGAAATTTGAGTAACAAACTCACTTGGTAGTATTTTAATCCATACCATTTCTAGAAACATTTACTTTTTTCGTTTTCTAGGCGCCACTATAGAGTTTGTTATACAATTTTTCGATCACCCTTATGCTTAAATTCTAGATATGTACAAATAAATGTCAAAACAAGACACTTCCTACTTGCTTCATTACTCTGGATTATTATCAAAATGACTCCACGTCTTGATTTCCTCAAACAAGTATTTTCCAGGACATAGCGTCGCTGTAGCCTGACTATGGCCGATCAAACGATAATCAGTTGTAAGTTTGTTTTCCTCTACACTACATTCAATCAATTTTTTTAATGCTTTAAGTTGGTTGTTTTGTGGTTTATTATCTGAAATTTAAATTTAAATGTAGATATTACTCTCAAACGCTCTGTCATTGAATATTATACAGGTTATTATAATAACAGATGTTATTTTGATCATTTTTTGGGACAGGTAGAATAAGCGAATATAAATCGCTTTTGTTATACACGCTGTCGATTAATTCGACTATCAAACTTCCACAGAGATATAGCGTCTTAAAAATGACTTATTGACAATGCCATTTATTATATTTTAATAATTTTTAATATTATATTAATAATTCTAGGCAGGTCAAATTCGGTGCACGTTTTCCGCTATTTGGGACTCATACTTACATAAATATATACCGGGTGTTTCAGAATATGGGGACAATCTCTCGAATTTATACATGGGACGTTAAAATACTATGACGCCCCTGAAAATTGATTTTTTAAATAACTTTTAAAATACTTTGTGTAACTTAATTATTTTTTAATACGATGGACAACATATAAGACTCCTTAAAAATTGACCCTTGAAAACAATTTGGCTTATTTGGTGTGTCAGAAACAGACTAGCTGTAGCACAATAATTAAATTAAAAAAGGCACTGTTGGTTGATATCGATATGCTTTTTATTACATAATTTTAACTCAGCGAATTGAAGATTGTTGGAACCTCTGTTGTCCATCGTATTAAAAAATAAGTAAATTACACAAAATATTTTATAAGTTATTTAAAAAAAATCAATTATCAGGAGTGTCCTTTAGAGGTTCCCTGTATAAATCCAAGAAATTGCCTACATATTCTGGGATACCCTGTATAAAATTGTTTTCCGTTTTGTTTCTTAAAAAATGTAGATGGTGTAAAGGGTGGTGATAATTGAAAAATGTTTGCTATAAGAAATATCGTGTAAAGTTATAAGCAAAAATAACTCATCAAAATATATTTGTGGCATTTATCTTCAACAATATCTAAATACATATTTTTTTAGACACGAACGATCATTTTTTAAGGCGTACATTAATGATATACTAAATTTTCTCAATTATCGTCACTATTTCATGATATCCAAACTTAGATTTTCTAAAATTCAAAAGGAAATCGATACTTTAAGAGCTATAAAAAGATTTCTTCAAAACAAACCATTTTTTGATACAGCATATAAATATGAGTGTACCAAATTGATGCCTACATATACTAGAAATGCTTTATAAGACATTTAAAGAAATAAACGCTGCCAACTGGTAATCCTCAAGAAGCAATACCTTCATAAATATCAGAATTGGTTCCTAGTAAATTAGAACTTCTTTTATTAATCCTAATGAAGGAACATCCTGTAAAAATTTGGTAAATTTTGATAAATTTTGACATTGTGTTGAACATGCATGTTGTTCCATTTAAAACAGATTCCTCCATAGCTGCAGGGTGTAACCGATAATACAAAAAAGAGTTTAAAATAAAAGTTGTACAAAATCGATTTCTTCATATTTGATACAACTCTACTTTCCCCATCCCTTCAGACTTTACTTAATTTCATTTTTCCAAATGGAATACCATTTTTTATTTCTCATTAAATTTGATATCTACTTTGATATTAAGTCTTCGAAAATATTAACTATCTCTAAAGCCAAACATGCAGCAGGATGTAGTTTTCAACACTTGTTGAAGCATGAAAAAAATATTTTTCTAATAGAAATTAATTAAGGAATGTACAAGATGAGTTTCTTATGTTTAGACATGGTAAAAACCTATCTTGCTATCATGTTTGGTTTTGAAGATCTTTGATATTTTTGAGGATACAAGGGTCATTTTTTTTAAACATCAAATAACAGCGAAAGGGTGCGGTTTAGATCCAATGTCTATTTATCAAAGTAATTAAAATCCTTAAATTTAACAAGAAATTTACAAATGCAATAACATAAAGAAAGTTATGCTTGAAAATATGAAACTGGGTAACGCCCACAAGAAATATATGGGATTCTTACATTTATTTCTAGCTGATTATAAAATTTAGTACATCGATTTACTTATCAAAATATTCAACAGCAAGACAAAAACATTGACCTGCTTCAAGTTCCAGTTTATATTTTATGATGTTGATGAAAGATATTATAAAACTATGGGAGTTTAGTGCTAACTTTGCTCGTCTCCAAAAATATGTGCCGAAAGACTTTTTAGAATTTCAATGAATTGCTAAAGGCGCCATACATGTCCATTATTTGTAAAGAAGATTCTTACCCTCAAAATTTCCTATTAAACAAATTCCAAGACTTCTACTATTGTAAGGAATTGCGTGAGCTCCATGTATGCCCCAGCCTCTGCCTTCGTAGATATTGCCATCGTTACCAATCTTAAAATAAATTATTTTGTTATTTAAGTAATCGAAAAGAACTAAACATTTTTCTAATATTTTAATGTACGGTCAAATTTAACCAACTTTAATTCCGAAGTGTAAAGGATTGTATTTTGAATCAAGAGAGAGGAGTCTTGGTCTTGCGGCACCAAAAGTCCTATATTCAACATCAAATTAAGGTTATAAATAATAATGATAGAGATTCGGGAATTTGGACATTTTTATTTAAAATTTCCTCTTAAAATCTTTTTTCAAATTGACGCTAACGCTCATATTTTTCGAGCTATTTGCAAAAAACTGAACCCCTTTTTTTAATCTTTATTTGTTTATAACTTTGTGTGAATACGATTTTTATGCACATTTTTCTAGACGTCATCCCGAATCGAATAAACCCTCAACCATCCCTTAACTTGAATTATGAGTATTTTACACGATTTTGAATATGTTAAGTAGGTTATTGCGTCTGGCACAATAAGAAAGAAAAAGAATAAACATATTTATTTATAATTCTAGAATTACTAGAACATTTGAAATAATTATTTCTGAAAAATTATCTATTTTAACTAGGATTATTTATTGTTTTTAATTATCATTTTAGATACTCTTGTGTTTTATTACTTAAACCAAGTACTTATCAAAATATTATATCTTACAATTATGCCAATAATAATCTAATCTAAACATCTTTGATTATTCATAAGAATTTGGCAAACCACGTGATACAATGCACATATATATTTTTATATTTATTAATATTACAATAATTTCTGACAAATAATCTGCATTTTATTAAAAAATTGTGTGTACAGCTTGTTTGAGTTTTTGAATTTATTTTTTATTGCTATTATTCCCCTATTACATATGTGTTTTATAAAAACATATAAGGGTTTGTGGACTGTATTTTGTATGGGAAAATGCGATTTCTTCGATTTACAATAAAGAGGTTTTATTATTTAATTAATGGGTTTTACAGAAAAATTACTTTTTTACAGAAAAATGACTTTTTATATTACTAATGACAAGATAGACATACGAAGTCTCAAAAACAAACAACTCAATCTCTTTTTACGTTTCCAACGTTCTTTTTTATTATTTTATTTCTATGTACCACTCTTCCAATTCTCAACAATATGGTTAAGTAGTGCAGCATTAGACTGCATCCAATTATAATTATTATTTATTTGCTAATTTTCGTGTTGATATTGTTATTACTTAATTAAAGTCAATACATCGTCGCCTGAGAACCAGACTATTCTATGTCCATTTTTCTAAATATTACAGGAACTAATTATGAAAGTATGAAAGCATCGAAATCGAAAAGATTTAAGGTTTTTCGTGCAACTACATTTTTATTAACAATTATAGATTATCTACTTCGGAAAAAAACAATATGTAGTTTGCTGTTTATAATGGACTCTGAAAAAAATATACAAATAAAAAATTATGTTGTGGACATACAGGTTCGAAAAGTCCCCATGGTACATCGGCAGTTACGTGAGAGCGATAAAGACTGACCACAAAATTAGACTTTGCACTTCAGGTCTTTCTACTAGAAGATTGTTCAATAACATATACAATACACTTGTAATGTCTGTACCTTCTCTACCACCAATGAGGTCGTGCCACAGAACTTGCAGCAATACAAAAGCACTGCATACCACACTAAATAATATGTAATATTTGAGCCAATTTATTCTATGTCCTCACGTGATGTCAATTTCTTATACTGCATACCACACTAAATAATATGTAATATTTGAGCCAATTTATTCTATGTCCTCACGTGATGTCAATTTCTTATACCTCATTGGACGAGAGGACATAGAATATTGTGGTCGGAATATTTATAAGGTTAAATGGACTTAGAATAAAAAGGCCAGTCTGTATTCAGAAAAGTACGCAGCATAGGCGTACTTGGAATGTATTGGCATATACGGTATTGGACATAGAACTATGTGGTGACAAAATTTTCATTTAAGAAAAATACGGACATAGAATAGTTTGGTTCTCAGGCGACGACATATCAACTTACCAAAAAATTGTAACCTATATCTTCCCAATCATTAGTATTCATGTGATAGTCTTGTACACTTCTCATAAGAGCTTTGCAGTCAGCTGTAGTTTTGCATGTATTGGTTACTGAGTGATGCACTACTACATATGGTGGGGGATCTTCTTTTAGATTTTCTTTAATTTTCGGATCAGTGGCATTCCATTCCTCTCTAGTGATTATAGTTGGACAAGCACCTAAGAAATAAAGATAAGTTTTTTGTTTTTTATTTTTAAAAACAGATAACAAAGCTCCACCAAAAAAATCGAGAATATTACCCCTAGAGTCTGAGTATGTCCCCATCACGTCAGGATTTTTCATAACCTCAAAAAAATAGGCTCAAAAACGCAATAAATCCATTGACCACTCAATCCCAATATCCCCGTAACCCCTTAAGCTCTTAATCCCTTAAACCCCATAATCTCAAAATTCCATAACTCCAAAATCACAGAACTAGTAAGAAAGAGACATATGCGCGTTGAAGCGCTTCTTGAGCCTTAAACCTATACCAACGAATATAGACGCTCAGGGCTGAGAATTGGACACGAAATCTTGGGGGATGTGTATAGTATGTTATAGATTTCTTCTATGTAATCTTGGGCGACAGATATAGTCTAGTATAAGCTCTACGTGCATTCCAATTTCGTCCCTCACTTGTAACCTATGAGCGTTCTTCTGTAATAGGTCTATATTCGTTGCCTATATTTTTTAATAATCCCATAACCCTATAACCTCATAATTCAGTAAATAATAGGTCTATTTTTTGAGGTTATGAAAAATCCTTACGTGATGGGGTTAAATAGACCCCGAATTTGGATTCAGCGACGCCGAAAACATATGATAAACATAGTCAGACTCCTGGGGTAAATTCTCGATTTTTTTTGTGGAGCTGTATACTGTACAGAGTGTTTCATAACAAATGAAAGAGTGAGGCATCTCAGCCGATTACACAATGATATGGATGTGGAATTTTCACATTAGCTACAAAACAAATTTTTCATAATCCCAATACAATATTGGGAAAATTACTATTTCTTTTGTAGCTGCTTAAAAAAGTACAATTCGCAAATTTAATGAAATAACTACTTCAAATAAGTGTACAATACAGGGTGTTTCTGAAATAAGTGCGTTTCTTAAAGAGGGCTATAGAGGGCACGAAAATGAGCACCTGATGGTCTAAATGCTTCTGTATTCGAGTCAATTAATTAACAGAATTAATATAAGCCTGTGCATCTTGTGTATCTTGTGCACGCGCACTGTGCTGCAGTATTATTTACGACATTGACCGAGAAGTGAGTATATGTAACACTACCGTGTGGCGTATATTACGGAGGCAACTATTTAGCTACACCCCTTTCATGCACAAAGGGTTCAGGCATTAAATTTAAATAGTGGACTTTCTGAGAAATATAAAAATGCGTAAATTTTACTAATGGCATCGTGCTTAGCACCTCAGAATACTACGAAAACGATATATTTGGACAAAATTTAAGAAAAAATCAGATTTTACCAATATTTGGGTGTTTTCACCCAAAAATTTCACTTTTCTTCAAAATTCTTCGGGCAGCCATGAATTTTCACAACAGGATCGTGTTCAATTCATCGAATTCCTTCGGAAATGATATGTGGGTTTCTTGGGTTTGGACTTTTTGCGCCTGTGTTATTGAGAAACTTACACCAATTAATACAAAGAAATCTAAAAAAAATATGTGTTGAAGCAATTCGAAGAATTTTGAGAAATCACGTGTTAGAATCTATCACTTTAGTGGAGAAAATTGTTTATAAGATTGGGCGAGCAATACTCGAAAAAAAGACGGATCATTTTATAAAAACAACGTGGAATGTAAAACTTCATATGAAAAAATGTAACGAAGATTTCAGAATTATGATAGATCCATTTAATGACATGAGATTTAATTCTGCAGAATATGTTGCACACTGATGCCAGAAAAATGAAAAGAAGTTTCACTTATGAAGAATTCCTACAAATGTTGCAACTTTATGATGGGACACTCTTCAAAAGGAAATTATTCATGTTATATTATATGAGCTGGCCTTTCAAGGTGAGATTTGATTAACTAACTGATTTTTTTTTAAGAAAGGAAAGTTCCAGGATGAATCAAGTACCGACAGAATTGAAGACAACCCATATTTTCTATGGTATGTCAAAGAGGAAGCCGCAAGTTAACTGATGGTAAGTGGTTAATAAGGAACATGCTAATGAATACATTGACAGACGTAAAATTAGGAACTTGAAAATATTATTTTAAGTTGGTCAACATATAAAAGATGTTCTCTATAATATGTGGAACAAAATAATAATACACTAAGCCTGTTCAGATTTTCAGTATTTTCTGATGGTCTTAACACTATCTGCTGGTATCAATTCGGTTTGATTAGAAAATATAATCATTCCTGTGTAGGATAATTGTCATTTTTGTATAAGATATCAAAAATTTGTATTGAGGAAATGTATCCACAATTAAAATGTATACTCATATACAAAATTAATTTGAGTGTAAATATATTATTTATTTCATTAGACGTTAGAATTTTAATTCTAAACCAAGTTTTTTCCTGATTTCTTATACAAAAAGAAACTTTATCTACAAAAATACAATACAAAAATTTAAAAGCTAGCCCATCCTTTCAAATTTTGAATATAAGAATAGTTTTTAATTTTAATTTTAAAATACGTTTTTTAATGAAATTTTTAATATTTTATACAGTAAAGGCAATTACTTGAAACTACCTACTTACTTTTTGAAATGAAAATATTTCAAATTATATTTTAATCAAGCAGGATTTTCATTTTTCAAAATGCCGATTTCATTTTTATTTTCGCGAAAATTGGCGAAATTCATGTTACATACTTTAAACAAAGCTTTTGAAAAAAAAAATATGAAATAAAATGTGAAAGGACTATTATACAGTGCGCTAAACCTACAGTATACAAAATAACAAGAAAATAAAATATAAGCAAATTTAGTTGTCAAACGTAATGCAGAATATGTATAACAGAGATGTTTCAAATTAAAAAAAAAAACAGGCTTCTGATATATTTTGCTAGAATAAAATTCAATGAATAATAAGATAATAATAACTTTTATATTCTGGATGCATTCAATCTCAAATCAGTAGAGCTTAAGCACAAATTAACAAACACTAAGTAGGTAAGTATAATATTTTACTCAAACTGACAAAAATTTATAAAATTTATAAAATTTCAACTAAAGAAATAAAATATCAGTTCCTTATAATTCAAAAAACAATATTTTTTACCCTAAGCTTCAACCTAATTTTGACATAACAGGAAACCTTAATAGTGGATTCAGATAAAAAACTCTCTGAAATTAGGAACTGAAGTAGTACTATCTGCAGAGTGCAAAAAACATATTTACTGTATTAATTACTATATTACTACTGTTTAGTTCATCTCATAACAAGTAAGGGAAGTTATACAAAATGAAACTAATATTACTAGAAATAATCTAATTCATACAATAAAACAAGTTTCAGACTCACCATTTGTGTAACAAGGAAGTGCGATAACTAGAACGGCAACACAAGCCGCGACTGCCAATACGAAGCCCATGGTAGTCAGAACGAGACTATTCGATTTGACAGTATATTTGTAATGAATATATTTTAAAATATTAAGGTATTTCCCCTCTATCATAATTACAACTAACTCCCAGATTAACATCGTTCACAAATTTCGCAATTTTTGGAGTAAATTACTTGCAAATTAGAAAATATTTATGTCTGTAATTTGACATAGCATCTATAAAAATTATTAATTAATTATAAAATGATTTATTGGCTCGTTTGTGTGAATAATATAAAGGATGTCTCATAATTAGTGTCCAATAATTTACCACTTGATTCTATTGCTAAAAACAAGAATATTGTTTCATATAAATATGGGCAGAGAAATGTTTCCTAAGGGAGCTACGCCCCCCTAAATGGCGTCTCAAAAAATTCATTTTTTTTTAAATATTTCCGAAATGGGTTGAAGGAAAATTATGAATTTTGACACCATAAACGCTCATTAAAAGTCGAAATAGATCATTTTTCAAAAATTTTGATCAGGGGCGTCTCAATTGGGGGGGGGGGGATCGAACCGAATTGGATGAAATTTGGTGTGATGATTCTATGCACTAAGAAGTTTAATTGGGAAAAGTACGAAGATCCTAGGTATTATTCAAGTGTCTGAAAAAAATTGACAAATAAACTAGCATTTTTTGCAATTTTTTAAACGATTTTTCCGATTTTTGCAATAATAATAATTATTTTTTCGAATTGCAACTAACTCTATCTTGTTCAAAATTTAATTACAAAACTTTTTTCCTCTTCCATTTTTGTCTAAAATGAATAGTTGCTAAGTTGTCGACGAGAAATCCAAGAAAAAAATGAATTTTTTTGCTATTTTTTTATACTTTTTTGCAATAACAATTAAGCCCACGTTTNCTGGAACCCTCAATTGGGGGGGGGGATCAAACCGAATTGGATGAAATTTGGTGTGATGATTCTATGCACTAAGAAGTTTGATTGGGAAAAGTACGAAGATCCTAGGTATTATTCAAGTGTCTGAAAAAAATTGACAAATAAACTAGCATTTTTTGCAATTTTTTAAACGATTCTTCCGATTTTTGCAATAATAATAATTATTTTTTCGAATTGCAACTAACTCTATCTTGTTCAAAATTTAATTACAAAACTATTTTCCTCTTCCATTTTTGTCTAAAATTAATAGTTGCTAAGTTGTCGACGAGAAATCCAAGAAAAAAATGAATTTTTTTGCTATTTTTTTATACTTTTTTTGCAATAACAATTAAGCCCACGTTTTTTTATTTGCATAGAAAAATTATCATTTCTGACGTTATTTAGAAGCCGTTAAAGCAAAAATCTCCGTTCATATACTTTTTACCCAAGTATACCCTTTTTAAAACAGATACCGCCTGGACTACTAGTTAAAAAAGGAGGTTCTGCTCATTCCAAATATATATAGATTGTCGTACTTAACTCAAAATGTATAAAAGTCGGTATGTATTGACCATGACCAAAAAATAATATTCTACTAAATAGAATATAGTACTATTATAAAACAGGGTGTCCCATTAAGACGGATTCTTCCCTAGTCTTGATATTATTAATAATACAAAAAAGCTTTTTAAATACACAAAATCGAATTTTTGAGATTTAAAAGTTATTTTATATTATAGTTACAGTATAAAATCCTTCGAATTCGATTTCGGTCCAAGAAGGAACTGTTTTAGAGTTCTGTTTTCTTATATTAATTTGGGTATACAAGTTAAGTAAATAAAAAATAACTAAAAAAGTATTCGTGCCACAAAAATAGTTTACTGAGTTTTTGTGTCAAAAGTGTAAAAAATCATTATTGTAGAAATGATTTATTCTTTAATTTTGTAATAAATTGTAAGAAATTCCATTGGTAATAAAAAAACACTAATCACATTTGAAAAATACTGACCTCTCGTAATACCTCCGCCACTGGTTGACATACTTGTGAGTCAACTTAGCGGGATTTTATTTTTACTTCGTTAGATCAGTGGCCCATGTTTCATCAGTCTACATCAAACATCTCTTGCACAACTAATTTCAAAAAATACGGCAAGAAAATTGATAATTTAAAATAGTTCAAAGAATCCTATCAAAAAAGAAAATTAAACTTACTTTCTATTTCGACATATCTTTCACTATTTTTCTTAAAAGAAGCAAGATTTAAATAACAGTATTTGTTTTATCTGCAGCCACTTATTTGTGGCATAGTTTTAGTTTTTTCTTTTACCACCTGTGTTTATTTTAATAATTCCATTATTTTTTTCACAGGTGGTAAAATACCCAATTAAATGAAGATACTTTTTGTCTAGAATAAACTAGCTGTTTAAAACGTAATTTTTTTCAAGCAAAAGGGTTTCCACTTTTTCTATAATAGTCCAACCAAGTAGCAAATATTATGACAAGACTTCTATCTGTAGCAATATATTATCAGTATTGTCACTGCTGAATGAGTACTTTCTTTCTTCTATTTACATTATACAAAAACAATTAATGAATCATGACCTTCAAAAATCCCCAGGTGTACTCCTTATTATATATTCATTCTTCAATGAACTACATTTGCCAATAAGGGGAAACACCATTTCTAGTTATGGAGTAATAACATATATTAGTGGAAAAATTATATAAAAACTTTTAAATTGAGGTTAAATGTGAATCAAACTATTTCGGATAATGATGTGAACATAATTTATTTATCTAAACATTAAACATGCAATTAAAGTTTAATATATTAACAAAACAAAAACAAAACAAACCATTTTTACCAAAAAAAGTGGAGTGTGATGACCCAAAAAATAAACAAATGTTTCTAAGATATTACCCATTTCTTTAATTCCTTATTTAATTCAACATCTTGTAACTTTTAAACCATTAATAGCCGGACGTATGGTTTATAAGGCAAGCTTGCAACAATTTTGAACAGAAAATTAGGAATTTTTGGTATTCTTTTCTATTATGTTTAACTACCTTTCTAATGTTTCAAAAATAAACATTTTAAAATACTTCGAGCATAGCAAATTCAATAACAAATTAGCATGGCCGACATAGCTTTCTTTACAATTTGAATTCCATTTATTCGACTTACCTCCCCCTGATCTGATTAGAGAGTGGTTAACATAGTGGACATCAAACCATTTGCTAGTAAGCAACTTCAGTAACCACTTATTGTTATGAAAATGAGACTTTGTAAGTGCGGATTTTAGGTAAGTCGCTAAATTAAATTTGGATATTTTGCAGATTTAGAAACATAACCTTTTTTCATTTTATAAAAATATACTATGCTTCGTGCTGTAGTAACATTATTACTAAGTTTTAACTTGTAAATATTGCTTAAACTGCAAACTTTTCGCAAGTGTCCTTATTAAGGTCTTGTACAATGTATGCCAGAAAGTTTAAGAAAGATTTGCTTAGGCGACATCCAATAGTGTTTTGAGATGTGAAATACACAAAATGATTAATTTATAATTTAAGCACAGCTTAAAATTTAAGCTAGGATTGATGAAACCTTTTATCTTGCAATAAAAAAAATGTTTGATATACAGTTTGATCTTATTTCACCTGTCATACGAGATTCTATTTCAGGTAAGATAAGATAGCAACATATTCCCAATTGTTTCTAAATTTAACAACATAACTAAGAACTAATTGCTAACTCTATTCCTATAAATATGAATTTTGATAATAGTGGTTAACATACAACTGATCCTCAAATTAGCAACTTCACTCAGTGATTAATTTCTTATAAAATCAAGGAGGACATCTCATGCACAATTTTTAATGTTATTCTCAACTTGGTGAAAATTATTTCTCGTCTTCCTCTAGAGATAATTTGTAATCTAAAAAAATTTGTTTTGAGTATATTAGAATTAATAATAAAGGCTTGAAATAATTGCATTTTTTCCGACTTATTCTATATGCTATTAACTAAGAGATAACTCTCTATTACCAGAGGCATAAAGCAGCAAAGAGCAAACTCTAAATTCTATGCCACTGATAGAATCGTCATTTTAGTAACATTTTTTAATGTTTAAACATTTTTTACGAAAATAATGTGCTCTTTCTTCAAAGAAATAAAGTTATTATTTCTCGAGATAACTCAAGTTAAATATCGAATATAGGGTTGCACAAAATAATGCTTATGTTAGATATTCATTTTTTCGGCCAAAGACTATCTAGTTGACTGTTAACTAATTATTATTAATAAAACACCGTGTGTATCTACAGGGTGTTAAAAAAAGAGTGTAAAATATTTCAGGAGGTAATAGTATGAACCAAAATAAGCAGAAAAGTCTTAATAAACATGGGTCCGCAAAGTAACGGTTGCGGAGATATGGACCACTATTCGTTTTTCAAACATTTTATTTTATTAGGAATAAACCGACAAAGGAAGCTTTTAACAAACAAAAAACAAAGTTACAGAAGATGTTCAAAGTGCCCTCCGTCCATTTCCAAGCAGGCACGACATCTTCGTCTCAACGATATTCGAACTCTTTCGAAAACACCCTCCTTGGTTTGGATTTCTTGACACTTTTGATTAATCCGTAGCTGCAGCTCTTCCAGGCTATTTACAGGAGTACCATACACTAATGTCTTCAAATATCCCCAAACAAAGAAATCTAGAGGGTTCAGATCAGGCGATCTTGGAGGCCATAAAACAGGTCCGGCCCTTCCTACCCATCTATGTGGAAAAGTTTGGTGTAAATGCTCTCTAACGGCCATGGAAAAATGAGCTGGAGCACCATCATGCTGGAACCACATTTGTTGCCTCTGATTCAAAGGAATGTCTTCCAAAAACTCATACAGTGTGTTCTGCAGAAAGTTGAGGTAAGCAGCGCCTGTTAATCGGTTTGGTAAAACAACAGGACCTAGAAACCTGTCACCTACAATACCCATCCAAATGTTTAATGAAAAACGTGCCTGATGTCCAGATTCTATTAGAGCATGAGGATTTTCGTCGGCCCAAATATGCGTATTGTGAAAATTAAACACTCCATTTCTTGTGAACCCGGCCTCATCAGTAAAA